AGCCTCTCCTCATAGGGCTGGCCACGGAGGCCCCCAACCGTATGAGTGGCCCTCCTCTGGACCCTGCTAAATGTATAAAATAAACAAATTTTAAAGGAGAGAATTTTCCCCTCATTTTTCAGTTGCATTGACATTATTTACTACTTGTAGTGATAGTAGGTAAAAAAAAAAATCAAATAGAAGTGTACTCAGAAATAAGATAAGATCTGTGTAGTGCCTGTAAGCATTTTGAAGATGTTCTAAGTATTGTTATCTTTGCTGAGGAGAGAAACAAATGACACGGTGAGTTAAATTGATTCTGTACTAAAACCACAGGATCTATAATAGTGTAAAAGACTGCCAAATGAAAGAGCAGGTCAGTGTGAGGGGAAAAATGTTTTGTTTTTTGAGAGAGATTCTTGGATCCAGTCAAATATTAAATCTCAGTGTATGAACACATTCTCTAGTCATGCATTAGTAACTTTAGCCTTCTAGTTAATGGGGTGATTTTTTTTTTGTTCCATTCAGATGTTGGCATTGGCTTTACTTGATCGCATTGTCTCAGTAGACAAGCAGCAGCAATGGCTATTGTATCTCTCCAATAGTGGCTACCTAAAGGTGCTTGTGGATAGCCTAGCAGATGATGACCTTACGCTTCAGAGTTTACTCACACCCCAGCCTCCGTTACTTAAAGCGCTCTACACCTATGAGTCCAAAATGGTAAGAGCTCCCAGGAACTGTTTTCTTTCTCTTCACAAATGACAATTGTTTGTCTCAGCAAAAGAGTTTCTGTCATGGTAGATATGTTTTGGATTGGTGTTGAGAGCACAGATGGAGAGAACAATAATTAAAATGAAGTTTTGCCATAAGTTTCTAGGACTTTAATTTTTCTTTCTCCACTATTCCCTAGGCATTCCTGACCAGAGTAGCTAAAAGCCAGCAGGGGGCATTGGAGTTGCTGAGGTCTGGAGTAATTGTGAGGCTTGCACAATGTCAAGTATATGATATGCGACCAGAAATTGATCATCAAGGGTAGGTGTCTATTTATTTGTTTCCTTAAATGATTGATAGACTATTGTACACTCCTGGAATGCACAAAGAGCTCTGACTTCAGTGGCTTCAAGCCTGTCTTAAAAATATGTGCATTTATACTGTTGGTTAACTTATGAGTAGCTCACTTCAAATCCATCTCTATTGACTGCAACATTTCAGCTTGCCAGGCATAAAGTAATAAATATATATATGGAACTGTTCAGTTGTCTTCAAGACATACAGCGTTCCAGTTTGTCTGGTTTCTTGGGAGATAAAAATTAACTGAATTCTGGTCTCTCAAAGCTGCAGTTGCTGAAATTTTACAGCAGCCAAATTTTGTTTTTGGAAGCCATTTTTCCATATATACTGTAAGCTTGTTTTTGAGAGTTTGCAGGTAGTGACAAATGAAGCATACAAGAGTGGAGGAAATTTGATTTTCAAACTCTTTTCTTTGTATCTATCTAGTTACATGTGACATTAATAGCTCTGTGGGGTTACATAACATTGTTAAAGTAAATAATTACAGAAATATATATTGCCTGATTTTCTTCAGAAGAAGGATGTAATTCTTTTAATTCTTAGCCAGTTGAGGACTTGGCATGCAGCTTTTTGTAAGGAAATGATTGAATGGAAACCACAAATGATCTGTTTTTACCAGAGAATAGCTTAGAAGTTGATGACATGATTTTCAACCTTAATATTCATTTTACATTTTCAGCCCAATATTTGCAATAAAAAGGGCTAGAAACTAACTCTGTTCCTAAAATAACAAGCTGAGATAAGTATCAACATCTAAAATTCTCAGGTGGCATTTATGAGATTTGATGGGAACTTTTTAGGTTTGTTGGAATATTTAGAAATCCAGTTCTAGCAGTACCTTCTGAAGTTAAGCACTCTTTTTTTTGTAAAAATACTCTGAAAACACTACTTTCCTTGAGGATAACTCAGGAGTAGAAATCCAGTGTTTCTCTACCAAGGCTGTCTAATTAACTTTGAAGTTTGCAAAAAAAGATTTTCGTCCTGTTAGAGAAACTGCAGGAGAAATTTTAGATGTACAACAACTTATTCAGAAAGATAGAGCGGCTTTATATATAAGACTGTAAAGCTAACAAGTTTAACTGAGGAGCTATTTTTGAGACTCATGATGTTTCCATACTCTTTAAGGAAGCTGTAAGTTAACTGTTTCTAAGTGGTCTCCAGTTTCCTTTTAGCTATTAACACTTTTTCTTTGAATCGCATAAGAATGTTTGGGATGAGAGATCCTCCTGTCTTCATTCCTGCTCCTGTGGAGCGCTACCGCCAGATTCTTCTCCCAGCTCTTCAGCTGTGTCAAGTGATCCTCACGTCCAGCATGGCACAACATCTACAGGCAGCGGGACAGGTAAGCTAGGAGGTCAGAAACAATTTCTTGATGTCCAGCATTGGGTGTTACTGCCTTCGTACCAAGTCAGGCATTGGTGCCGTTACTTACATTTTTTTTTCTGTCAGTAACATTTTCCTTGTAACGTCTTTGTACCATATAGAAAACTGCAGTAAAGTGTTGTATCAGAACAAAACTATTCTTACTTAGTTGATGCTTTTTCTTTTTCCCTATGATACAGGTTTTGCAGTTTCTAATATCCCATTCAGATACTATCCAGGCTATCCTGCGGTGTCAGAATGTCAGTGCTGGATCACTTCAGGAGCTGGCCTTATTGACAGGAATAATCAGCAAAGCAGCTTTGCCTGGTAAAGCTATATAATAAAATTGGCACTTTGGCAGTTTGTCACACTTGTCTGAATGAATATGACAACCATGGTCTTTTGCACATACAGTAAAAGGAAGGAGCTATTCAGTAGAAAATTTGTTTTAAAAATCTATTTTTTTAGAATGTAATACTCTAGAAAGAAATAGGGAATAGTTTATAATTGTTCTTTAGGCAAAAATGGAAGGTTTGGCAGAAGGAGTGGAATTGTATAGTATGTAGCAGGTTGGCTTGACTAGTCTACTAATACTTTTACAGTGCTTTCAGTATTCAGTGTCTTAGATATATTAATTGTCACAATGTACTTTGGAGATAAGTACAGGGTGACTGTTCATTTAGCCTGTTCCACAGGACACAAGAGAGACAGATAAAATCATTTTCCTAATATAATTTAGAGACTGAGGGACCTGGACCTCTTCAGCCTCTGCAAGAGAAGGCTGCGAGGTGGTATTATGGCTGCTTACAAATTCATTAGGGGGACATAGCAAGGGATTGGAGATGCTCTGTTCACCAGGGTGCAACTTGGGGTAACAAGGAACAATGGTCACAAACTGACAGAGAGCAGATTTAGGCTAGATATCAGGAAAAACTTCTTCATGGTAAGGGTGGCCAAAATTCAGAATGGGCTGCCAAGGGAGGTGGTGCTCTCCCCTACCTTGGGGGTCTTCAAGAGAAGGCTGGATAGGCATCTAGCTGGGGTCACCTGACCCCGGCACTCTTTCTTGCCTAGGCAGGGGGTCTGACTCGATCTGTTGAGGTCCCTTCTGACCCTAACATCTATGAATCTATTTCCTATTTTGTAATATTTAACATTTTGTACATTTGTACTTACTACAAAAAAAAAAACCTTCTTGGGGTAAGCTCTGTGGGTTTAGTAGGTTAGATTAGTGCTCTAACTTTTCTGGGGATCTACCTTCTATAAACTCTGTTTCATACTGTACTGGCTGTGATGTCTCATCTAGAAACCTACTGGATATTTCTATTCTCCTCACAAAATCACCACATTGTGTTTTGTCTTTGTTTACTCAAGAAAGACCTCTGACTAGACTAGGAAAGAAGAGGAGCTGTATGTAGGTGATGACTAAAGTTCAAATTAATTTAGCTTCCTTCTGTGGAAAGAGTTGCACAACAACTGCTTGTTCTGTGACGAGACTTGTTTTCCTAAGTGTTAAAATCCATTCCAAAAATGCATATGGTACCACTCGGCAAGTGATCTAATGACATATTCACACATGTAGCGGTTACAGAGAGATCAAAATACTTTCGTCACAAAAATGTGCAAAGGTTTGTCAATTTCATTCTCATGGATTTTTTTCTGATGAGCTTTAGTATTTAAAAATATATTTTAAAACCAGGAGCATTTGTTTTGATTAAAAGCACTTATTTTTTATTCTCTCATATCTACTGTATTAGGTGTGCTAGGTGAATTGGATATAGATACTAATGAAGGGACGCAGATGGAGCTACAAGGGCATATAGGACGATTTCAGGTAATTGAATTTTATATTCAACTTCTCTTTTTTCTTTGGAATTGCAAATTTAAGTGAGAGTATCATCCTAATTTTGTACCATAATTAGTAGGAGCTGTCTTATAAAAAAGGCACGTATAACACTAATCAGGAATGGGACTCTTTAAAAAAGAAAACAGGAATTGCAGCCTTTGGCAAAATACAAGTTCTGCTAAAGACATTTGTTTTCCAGCTTAGCCTACACAGTTGTCTAGGACTTGTCTACTAGAAAATGGAGTGGGATTTCATGCTATCACCAAAATAAAGTAATTCAGAATGTTTCTGCTATCACTTAAAGCACACAGGGACTTCCCTAGTTCCACAGGCTAAGGTATCTGACCCACCATTGGCTTATTTCTTTCCTCTTTCCTGTAAAGCATAACCCTGATGAAGCAGCTAAAGTACAGACAGCAGGTCCTGATCAGAATCCATAGCAATCCATTTTATCCCTCTGCTTGACTTGCTCAGTGTTCTACTCTGAAGCCTTGTCCTCAAAAGGAAGTTGTGCTCTCTGGAAGCCCTGATCATTGCCCCTCCACAAATCAACTACAAGGAGGCTTGCAAGCTGTAAACAATTACTGCAGCATTGATGAAAATAAAGGCTAGATTGAAAACAAAAAAACTCCCTACTAGGTATCTAAAGTGGAACTTAAGCTGAATGTAGTCTCCTAAACTGAGTTGACCTATCTACAGCCACCACCTCCCACTGCTTATTTGTCTAATAAGCAGTTTTGCTTGTAAAGTTACATAGCTGCCTGAAGTTCTGCTACTGCATATGCCAGGAGGCATCACCATCTTGGCTGAGCAACCATATTTACTGAAATCTAAGACAACCTCTAATAATTAGATTCTATATATGGAAAATTTTATAAATTTGTTATAATGTTCTAGGTATAGAATCTAACTATTGGAGGGTTGTCTTAAATATGCCCCACCCTGCCCTACATTAGGGAAAGTAGTGGCTGGGGGGGGGGTCAGGTACCCCCTTGCCCAGTGCCCAGCTATTTCCCCCTGCAGCCTTCCTGCTCCTTGCATCCCCTCTACCCCCAGCTCCTCAGAGTCTCTGTCCTTTCACCACAGTCCACTTCCCACAGTCTCTGTCCCTTCCCTCCCTGTCCCCTACCATCTCTGCCTCTTGCTGACCTCCCTTCTCTCCCTGCCCCCACTTTCTTTGCCAGCAGATCCTCTTTGGGCTGTGTTCCCTGCTAGGTCATGGGCACAGGACATGGAAGTGCAGCCCTTGCTAGGCCATGCAGCAGTGGCAGTGCTGCAGATTGGCTGGGGAGGGAATGGAGTTTCCCTGTACTCCTTGCTCAGGAGGGAATTCAGCCCAAGCTGGAGCCCAGTTGCCCCTGATAATAAGTTGTAGGATAGGGGGGAGTTAGGCAGCTGCTGAGAATCTAGGAGGAGGGGCTTTTTTTCCCCTATGCTAATTTGGGGGGGAAACCTCATCTTCAGATTTAAGTAAATAAGGTGAGTGTCCTGTTTGTGCTATTTATGAGGAAAGAGTTAATGCAATCTTTAGAATTAATATTAATGTTGATGTATCATTTTTCTTACATTCAGATATCAAAAGAACCATTTAACCCCTTCAATGAGACACTAACCAAAGTATTTACATCCTGTATTAGCGCCAGTGTTTAGGACTTCTCAGTCGGTTTGGTGGTTCAGACAGACTACGTCAGTTCAAACTGCAAGATGATAATGCAGAGGGAGACAGAGTGAGCAAGAAGGATGAGATTGAGTTGGCCATGCAACAGGTGAGGAAAAGCAAAGGTTTCAGGTTCTTAGCATTGCTGAGGTCTTCAGCCCATGATTGAGATACTTGACAATGCTGATTTCCAGGCATCTGGGTTCATCATGCTAGTATATGTGATTTGAGAAGTTCTGAATATAGGGATTATCATCTACTATATATTTCTTCAGTGTTATCTTATAGTTGACTTGTTCTGTTCCTTTTCCTGTAGATCTGTGCTAATGTAATGGAATACTGCCAGTCGCTTATGTTACAGTGTGCCCCCACCTTTCAGCACACCATTTGTCTGTTCACTCCTAGCCTGTCAGAGTCAACTAACCGAGATGGACCACGCCAAGGTGAGTTTGTGGTTTATGTCATTGGTGTGTGTCTGGGACTGAATTGTTAAAAGTTGGTTGATAGCAAATACTAAATGTTATTTACAAAACATGCAGCATATCTTTTCTTTACTGGAGATTCCTTCTGTGCCAAATTGCTGCAAAGTGCTGTGTGATCCTATGAGTTTGAGTAATAAAAAATGTTAAAATAGTGCATTTCTCTATTCTGTATAGCATGGGTTGTAAACTGGGGGTACACATACCCCTAGGGGTAATTGGAAAGGTCCTAGGGGTTACGCATGAGCAGGCAGGGACAGAGCATGCCCTGGGGCGTGTTCTCCCACTGTCGACTCTTACCTGGGGGAAGGGGGGGGCGCGAGGCACCACCGGCCCCATGTGGCACACTGTGGTGCTTTCCCACCCCCCACCCCAGCTCACTCTCCTGATTTGGTAAAATATATTTCTGTTCAAGAAGCAGTGTCAAAGAACTGCATCTTCAGTTGGAGTGGAAAGTGGTGAGGCTTGTGATGGTGTACTTCTTTATGTCATTCCAAAGGAAGTTTTTTTTCATGGACCTTAAGGTGATGTTTTGGATAGATGATCTTGGTCTAATCTTTAGACCAGGGATGGGCAATTATTTGGTCTTGGGGCCCTTCTTGCTGCGGCCGTCTGGAATCTTCATTTGGGCTGCCCTTTGGCTTCTCCCTGCCGCTGTCGCTGCTGGCAGCACTGCCTCTGGGCTGCCCCAGGTCCCCATTGTGGCAGCAGGTTGGTGGCAGCAGGGATAAGCCTCAGAGCATTGTCAGCAGAGGATCCAGGCAGCTGCAGCGAGAGAGGTCCAGCAGCGATGATGGGGGGTGACTGTGCCCGCTGCCAAGTCCCATTTTTGCCTGGTACCCAGCAGCAGCTTCTGCCTGGCCGCCACCATTACCACTGTTCATTGTGGCTGAGGCAAGCAGGTCCAGAGCAGGCACTGCATGGACCCCAACCTCCTGTGCGGGGCGGGCTGGAGCTGGGGTCACGGCCAGGGCTATGTGCTCAGCCTGGGACTTGGGACCTGCCTGCCCAGGTCCTGGCTGGTCTCCATGGGGCTAGGGTTGCTAGGAAATGGAGTCCAGCTGCTGAGCAATCCCAGCCCCACTGTGCGCCCAGGGGAGGCAGGATGCACTGTGGGCTGGACTGTGCCTGGGACAGACAGAATCCCTCCACAGGCCAGATCTGGCCTGTGGGTCATATTTTGTCCACCCCTGCTCTATAACAAGGCCAGGCAATGCCTGAAAAATAAGAACTGAGATATTGAACTTGATTTGCCATTCTATGAAAAGCCAGGACAGACAGCAGAGGACAGGTTTGATACTACTGTAATAGCCTGTGTTGCTGAGGATAATTTCTGAGTTCTGTCCAATTTGGACTTTCTGAAACCATCATGCCTATGCATATCACTGCTCTAGTCCAGCTATATGTGAAGAAAGTATGAATAAGCAAGGCCAGATTATCATTTACCAGGATGTAGCAGAGTCCTTTAGCCAACCAGAGATGACTGAAAGTGTTACTTGGGGACACTGCTGTGTGACAGCTTAGCCTCAGCAAGGAGTCCAGGAATATTTCTAAGCTATGGACTGAGGATGCACTGAGTGTACAGCTTCCACCAAAGAGACTGCACTATGGGTGAGAATTCAAAGTGCTCCCTTCTCACAAGTATCATGTGCGTCTTCTCTGGGTAGCTTCAGCTTCTGATTTGAAAATTGGGTCATACTGGTGATAGTTGTTTTCTTATACGTGTGAAAGGGGGAGGTAGGGGCTGTGAGTTGTTTCCATATGGTTAGTATTTGAGTCCTTGTCTGGATGGTTTATTTTGTGCCTGGATGTGGATGTTGAAAAGGACTCGTAAGAATCAGTCCTTGTAGGACTGCAAATTAGGAGTCTAGTGCTGGAGGGGTAGTTTCTCATCATATTATATAGAGTGTGTTGTCCATTAGGAAGGACTCTGATTGTTATAGAGTGTTGCCATGGATCCCTGGCGTTTCTCCCAGCAAGAAAACAATATTTCATGGTCACGGTACCAGATACATCAGGGGGCTGTAAAAGGGTGACGGTGGGTATCTATCTTCTGCCTAGTAACAGAAGATTATCTGCCAGTGTCAGTATGGAGCTTCTGTTGGGTTTAGACTACTAGCTTGGATTATATGAGCATATAGTTAGCTGGTCTTTCACTGGTTTCTTTACAAGCGTGCTCAGAAGTGGAAGGTGTGACACAGGGCCATAGCTGACAACAGATGTATTCAGAGGGAGTTGCTTCAGTGTTTGCTGGGCAGTTGTACACTTCAAAAGGAAGAGAAGATGCCTTCACTGAAAGGTGTTTGCTATCTCAGTTAAGATTGGTACTAGTTGCCCATGATTCTCTCCCAAACCAGGAAGGTTAGAGGTAGATACATAAGTCTTGGGTCACAATTCTTTCAGGGTGTTTAGAAGTTGCTGATGAGTGGGTGTACTGAATTCTGGGGATGCAGGTGAGCTGTTGGTTACCCTGTACAGGTACAGGAGATTAATGTTGTTGGAGAAAGCATCTCAAATCAGTTCATGTTTCAGGGTTGTAGCTGTGTTAGTCTAAGGAAATAGGCAGACAAGGTTCCTGGAAGAGCACACACCAACTGCAGATGCTTCCTCAACCTGATGAAGGGTTGCTACCTGAAAGCTTGCTAAGAAGAATTTTTCCAGCTATTTGAGTTGGTCTAATAAAAGATACCAGATTTACCCAAAGAACCTTGTCTCTCAAATCAGTTCATTTTTTCAGTGAAGTCAGATAATAGTTTTTCAAAGCAGCTGGCACCTAGTTTTGTTGAAGGTTGCACCTCCAACCCCAGAAGCATGAATTCATTTTATTCTGGTAATTAATAGTTTGCAACTGTTAGGAGGAAAAAGTATTTTATTTTCTTTAAGGGAATAACTATCCAGCATAATATAGTACTGCATATAGATCTCTAAGGTAGCTGTTGGCTAGCTTGTTCAATACTGGATGCTGTATAACTGTGTTAGCACCGCACTCTGCCTAGGCTTAATATATCCTGGTTCTCAGCACGGTTAATTACCCTAGGCTTAGCACTGCACTAATGTAGCTTTATTGCTTTTGGTACCTGAGTTCCCTTATTCAGACCTAGCTTGGGGATCTCTGCATTGTACTAAAGTGTAGATTTACTCTTAATTGTCATCGTAAGCAGCTGCTCTTATTTTCTTTGGTTTAGTCTATGCTTGGAGTTAGAGTAAGGTTTTTAAGAAATCTCCTTTCCCCTTTGGAGCATCACTTTTGAAAGATGTTGAATTACTGCTAGTATACAGATGTCGCTTTTGTGACCTTTTGAAGCCTGAATTGGCACGATGAAAAAAATGCTTGTTGAGAGAGAACCTGTGCTGGAAAGCTTGAGGGGCCAGGACTGGCAGACTGCACAGATCAGTGCAGGCTAGCTGACCACATATTTACCAGGTTCCTAGGTAGGTCTCTTAGCCCACGCTGAATGCTGTGTTGCTATGGCTACACTGCTGTCAGGATTGGAGGTAGCTAATGTATAGCTAGCTTAAATATGTCTATAGAAGCTGCAATCACACCTTTGGATTGCAGTGTAGATATAACCTCATGCATTTTAGTTTTTAATAACCCTCAGCTGCTGCTCAAAGCAAGGAAAGCATTTTGTGTGATTAAACCATAGCTGTAGGGCTCCCATTGTGGTTTGAAATAATGCTGTGCCTTACAGTTCTAATTTCCTTATGTAAAGCAGTAAAATGTAAAGTGCTTTTTTTTTTTTCCTGCCACCGGTTAGCAGGGAGAGAGAATGGGTGTGATCATAGGGAGAGAGAATGGGTGTGATCCCTGCACAACAGCAGATATAAAAATGTTTCATCACAAAAGGAAATAATGGAGAATTGAACGCTGATAACTAATTGTTGGCTTTCTGTATGCCAGCAAGAGTTGCAGTCATAGGAATCTCAGCTGAAAGAACCATAAGCAGCAAATCCAAGATGCATTTACTGATGCATACCTACCCTTGACAAAGCTGCTGACAAATAAGAGAAGATAAGTGTATTTCTGGGTGGCTTTTGAGAAGTTTTTCTAATTTGGTTATTTCTTCTAGATACGCAAACACCAGTGGTTCCATATTGGCGCCTGCCGGGGTTGGGCATTATTGTCTTCCTGCTGAAACAGAGCGCTAATGATTTCTTCAGTTATTATGACAGCCATCGTCAGAGTGTTAACAAACTACAGAACGTGGAACAGCTCCCACCTGATGAAATAAAAGAGGTAACAGGTTTGCCGGTTCTTTAAGTTTGAAAATAACTTGGATAAGTATTGAACTGACATCTGTATCCTTATTTCTCTTTTATATTCAAATAGAGGTTGTAGAGGATACAAGCACAGATGAAGGGTGAACTAAATATCCTCAAAGTTAGTAATTAATTTGAGATCCAAAAAATATTGGGTTCAATTTTGTGGAGGTACTGAATGGAGATGTACTGTGAGTTGTATTGGAAATGTAATTCATTGGCATCCTCAAAAGCTAGTTCAACCCGCCCCCAGGAGACTGGTCCTCATTTGCATCTCCTGACTGGCCAGCAGAAATGATTTGTAGAGGTTAAATGGGTACAACTTTCCCACCAGTCTTTGCACAGATGAGCAGATTACAGGATGGGGAGGGATACCTATGCGGAAGAATGATTTATGCTGATGAGATGGATTAAGAAATCGAATGTGGTCCTAAAGGAATATTTTTGCATTTGCCCAGAGAGTAGATTGGGATGGCACTTGGTTTCTGTGGTTTCCAGTAACTGAAGCAGGGTTTTGGGGGAATGAAGGAAAAGAGCTTCTTCCTCAAGAAATAAAGGATTACAAGGATGTTACAAGTGTTTTCTTGACTTTCATCTGTTGCTGGTTTGCTACTCAGTGTTGAATCCTTTGTGTCTATTTATCTCTCTCTCTCGCCATAGTTGTGTCAGTCAGTGATGCCAGCTGGGGTGGACAAAATCTCTACTGCTCAAAAATATGTTTTGGCAAGACGGCGCTTAGTGAAGTTGATAAACAATCGGGCCAAGTTGCTTTCTCTCTGCTCCTGTATCCTTTTGGAATTTGGACAACTTTAAAGGGTGACACTTGAGTAAAGCAGAACACGTTTGATGGGAAGTGGTAGTAATGTGTTTCTTCTCCCAGGCATTCCTTAAGTTGAAATAATATCTATCCTAGAAAAGAAATTTTGAGATACTGCTAATCAAATTAGCTTATAAAAGGGACTTCTGTCTCTAATTTCATGTTTTATACATTTGTTTTCTATTTATGGAAAAATTCTAAAATAAGGTCAGTGGTAACACGCCCTTTCCTCCATAAAAGTCAACAACAAATGGTTTCTCCTCCATTTTGATATTGTGTATTTACAATTCCAACAATAAAAATCTTGGGATCTAGAGTATGAGTCCACTGAGCATAAACAGTCTATGCAGTAACAATAACTACTTGTGTGGAAAAAAGTGGAGGACAGTGATGACGTGGACTACCTGCTGGAATCATCCTAGTCCCTAGTGTTGTAAACAGTTTGAAAACACTTTCCACATTGTAGTTTCATTTGAAATCACTGCTCCCACAAAAAGTTAAGCAGCCTCTTAACTGCAGCTTAGGGCTTTCTTCTGAAACTTCTAGTATTTGGTCTGTAGCCTAAAAGTAGCATGAATGAACTGTAGTCTCCTTCACGAAACATCTCTAACAGATATAATAGAAACCTGTCTCTTTATTCTTTGGCGTCACCTGGAGTACTATCTGTTGCACTGCACACCTGCTGATTCCCAAGATTCACTGCTATCCTCCAGGTCTTCTTTTAAGAGTAGAAGACTACAAGGTAATATTTCTGAAATTTCAAGATGCCTTTGTATTAGGTTGCAAGTCAGATTCTAAAACGTCCTGGTAACACTGAGTCTTAATACTAACATTCTAAAACAGTTGTGTTATGCTGAATAGTAATATTTTAGATTTTGTATTTGGATTTACTAAAACATCTCTCTGCAGTAATTGGAACCTAAATATTGCAGCTTTGGGATTGTGCCTCAGAAGTAAAAGTGAGCTTGTTGAAAGAGAACAGTTGAAACTAGTCCTGCTTCTATTGCTTAAATCAAATTCAAGGAATTCGGGTGTATATTAGGGCTGTGTGAAGCTTTGTCACTGATTCGACTTGGAGGAGGTTTGGCGGCTGAATCTCCAAAACTGAGTAGAATCGGGAGACCCATTTAAAGATCTAACTTGGATTTGAAGCCTCCAAATCGATTTGGAGATTCGGATTGGCTGGGGAGAGGCAGGCATAGCCGGGTGCATGCAAGTTCTCCCGTGGGTTCTCTGGCTGTGCCTGCCTCTCCCCGGGCAGGGGGAGCCATGGGAGAAGCCCCCATGGCTGCCCTGCCTGGCCCCATCCCGCACGTGGCCCCAGCCTCCTGGCACTTAAAGAAAAAAAGCCCTGCACTCACCAACTGTAGCAGTGGTGATCAGGGCCTCTGGGATGCAGAGCCCCCCTGCGCAGTGGGGGGGCAGTGGGGTTTGTCCCCCCATCACCTGGCACCTGCGCAGCAGCTGTCACATCATGTGGGTGCAGCATGGCAGGGCATCATGTGCTGTCTGGGAGCTGGGGTGGCTCCATCTGTCAGCTGGAGCCTGGCACCGCTCAGCCCCAGTGGCCCCAGCTCCCAGACAGCATGCAGCGCCCTGCTGAGCCATGCTGCACCCAGGCCATGGGGCAGTGGCTGTGCAGGTGCCAGGCGGGGGTGGGGAATCCCCACTGCCAGAGCTGGTGAGTGCGGGGCTTTATATAAAAAAGTGCCAGGAGGCTGGGACCAGACAGGGCAGCCATGGGGGCTTCTCCCTGCCCCAGGAGAGGCAAGCACAGCCAGAGGAGCTGTAGGAGAACCTGCAGCCGCCCAACTGTGCCTGCCTTTCCCCGGCTGATCTGAATCAGTACTGAATCTCCGATTCTGATTCAACTGAATTGAATGGGGACAGTGAATCAAATCACTGTCCTCTAAACCAGCTGAATCTGAATCAAATACTTCCCTATTTGCACAGGCCTAGTGTATATAGCGAAAAGTAAATGATGTTCCTTTACTTCCCTGCAAAATGAGGCTTTATGAAGTAGCAAGGAACTAGTTGGTCAGGACTGCTGAAGAACTAAGGCAGTTTGCTGTGTCCTTTGTCAGAAGTCATCAGCTATGTGGAGATGATTAATGAGCTGCAACTGAGTGGAGAAGCACCCCTTTTGGAATAAAAGCCACAGCAGTGGTTTGAAGAGTTTTTGGCCGAAGCGCCAGAAACACCCCAGTCTTTACTCGCATCTTGACTTGGCATGTCAGAGGTGGAGGAGCCGTGAGGGGCCAGTACTTATTGCTGGTGGCAGCTGCATGTGTGCCTCCAGGTAGATGGCAGAAGAGGGGCTGGGGTTGCGCTGCTCTGGCCACTTCCTGCCATGTGCTGTAAAGCACATGTGCAGCCACCATGGCCACAGAGCCCAGCAAAGCATTTTGCAGTCTGCCCACCACCTGCTGCAGCTGCCCACACCTCTGTGGCTGTGGTGGCTTTGTGTACACATCTAGGTGCGCAGCTGGGAAGGGGTATGGGGCAGTGCAATGCTGGCCTTTCCCTTGTTGTCCATCCTGAGGCACATGTGCAGCTGCCACCACCACAGAACCCAATCAAGGCCTCCTGGCTGCCTGCCACAGCTGCACTGGTGTCTGGAGCCCTGGCACTGGCTCTGTGGCAGCGGTGGCTGCACACGTACCATCAGGTGGATGGTGGGGAAGGGGCCGGGGTTGTGCGGGCCCAGGCCCCTTCCTGGCTGTTCTCCCCAAGGTGTGTGTGCAGCTGCCACCATCATGGAGTGAAGGCTTTGGACACTGGTACAGATGGTTGTCACAACCAGCTTGGGCTCTGGGCAGCTGCTGTCTCCCACAGAGTTCAGGATGCTTGCAGCAGGGTTCAAGATGCTTCCGGCCACCTGCTGCAAGCAGTCTGGGCTCTGGCTAGTGGCAGCTGCTCAGAGTCCAGGCTGGCTGTGGCATGCCAAGGAAAATGACCTCACATGCTATGCTCTGGCATGTGTGCCAGGGGTTGCTGATCCCTTAGCCACAGCAATCAGCTACTTGAAGTTACTACATTTAATGTTGGAAAGAGATTTCATTGATAGAAAGATCAGTTGTGATTGCTTCTCTGTTCTGGTTTGTTATGTACAGGATGCATCTACGTATGCGTTAAGACGCTTTTCCTAATGAGCATTGAATTTATTACTGCCACTGTAAGGTACTAAACAAATGCGTATTAGGCTGCCTTAATGCACAATAATGAATATGCATAGCTTTAAAGTGATGCTTAATGCGTAGTAGCCTATTTTACTGTGCATTAGCATAATAGCATGTTTTTTTATGTGACACTTTAATGCATAGTAAAATAGGCAACTATGCATTCAAGTGCACATGTAGATGCACCCATAAGTTGATATTTGATGTTTTAAGCTTCCTTCACATCTACATGTTGGATAGTTTGATGCTCAGAAGTGCAGGATGTTGAATTTTAATTTGTTGTTTTCCATTTCAAGATTCCTTTAGTACAGAGCCTAATTTGGATTTCAGAAGTGGTTTGAATCGAGTGAGCCAGCATGATATAGATCAGGTGAGATGAAGCAGATAAAATCTTCTTAAAATAGCAGCCATCAGGTATGCAGTTGTCATGCCATTATGGACAGCAGTCTGTCTGTAGTTTAGGAATGATCTGTGGTCTCCTGCTGTTAAATACCTTATTATCTTAGGACAAGTGATACTATGAAACTATGAAAAGCTTTTGATAGAGGTAGTCACCTTGCATGCATTTTCACTTTGCACATGTAACCATATAAATGTCCCAAAACTATAACATACCAAACAAAATACAGAGAGCTAAATAATTGGCAAACAGTATTATTGGCCATGACCTTATTTTCTCATAAATTTGGCAAATAAGTTGCAACTATTAAATTATTGGCTTCAGTTTAATAGGTTAAGATATAGAACACTATTGTCCTTATTCTCCAGACACTTGTAGGTACGTATATAGCAGGATGTGTTGCGTTATTAAATTAAAAGGACGGATATGCATATTTGGAGCCTAAAATGGTAAATACGTTGCTTCACCCAAGAAAAAAACACTTTCCATAGATGCCTTTTTGTATATAAAGTAAGCCAGGGCTGTTCAACTTTCAGGCAGTCGGGGGCCACACACTACACGGGCTGCAGACCGAAGCCACTTGCTGTACAGACAGCACCCCCACCCCAGCTCTTTCCCACTGCGTGTGCAGCCCAGTGCTGCACTCCCCTTGTACCCCTTGTGGACAGGCGGGCTCTTCTTCCCTCCCAGCCACCCAGGCAGCCCATGTCTCCTACAGCATAGGCAGCCTGGCTTCCCTTCTGTCCCATCCACATGTCACCTACCTGCAGTGTGGACAGCCGGGCACTTTCCTTTCACATTTGGCATGAGCAGCCCAACCCTGTCCCCCAGTGTACATTCAGCCAAGGCCCCCTGGTCTCCCACTGTGCAGGCAGGCTGGGCACCCTGGCCCCTTCTTGCTGTGCTGCTCAAACCCCCAGGAGCAGGAACAGGAAATTGAAGCCAGAGGAAGGAGGGGAGCCTAAAGAACCCAGCTGCTGGTGTGCAATGTTGGGGAGTGGGGTGGAGGCTAGGTAGGAGCCTTGGGCCCACAAGTTAACCCTTAGGTATCTGCACATAGCCTACAGGCCGCCAGTTGCACAGCCCTGCATTAGACTGAAATACAGCAGAGAAAGGTGTGATTAGCGTTTACTAAAGGAGGCAAAAAGAATGCATGCCCCTTGGAGAGTGCTTGAAGCAGATGTGCAGGAGCTTGGGATTGGGGCGATTGGTAGTTGAGGATGGCAAGAAGACTCCTTAGAAAAAAGAGGACTCAACGTTGTCAATTTCAACAAATCTTTTCTGTTCCTCAGCTTCAGCTTGAAGCCACCAACAGCTTTGGTGAATCTCTCCAGAAAAAGCTCCTCGACATAGAAGGATTATACTCTAAAGTCCGATCACGCTATACCTTTATTCAAGCACTTGTTAGACGTATCCGTGGTCTACTAAGGATATCAAGGACCTGACAGACTTGTTCATGTTGCCTGCCTCTGCAAGCAGTGAACCAGGACACACTGCCTTCCTCAGATTTTATACACCTATGTTTTCTAAATAATGGGCAAAAATATTTTGTTATCTTTTTTTCTTATCATTAATGGATCAGTTTTGTGTATTCTTTTCTACCTGCACCCATTCTCACTAGAAAAATAAAGGATTTTTTTTAAGCGAGTCATGATCACTGAAAATGGACTGAAAATACTCGTTACTGAAGACACTGGAGATAGGAAAATATTGTGAGCATTTTAAACTTTGTATCTGTGCACTACACACACATCCATGTGACAATTTAAAAGAAAAGCAAAACTGCCAAGCCCCATTTCTGCTGTTCTGAGTGATGCCATCTTTTCACTGTGGTTCACAAACTCTTTGGAAAAATGGATTTCTGGGTCTAGTATGTGAGAATAAAATATGTGTCCTTAAAATGGCTTGGGAGGTGGCACGCTGTTGTCCCACCCAATCGCTGTCTTGTTTCTGATCCCTCTTGCCTTTTCCTTTTTCCAGCAGATATAGGTGCATATTCACCCTCATTTTTATAATTCTGGATATTAAGAATGTGAAATATAGGGAGGGTGGTTGACCCAAGCTGAGGAAATGGGACTGGAAAACTTGATGTCTGTTTACTTACTTCTTTGTTTAGCCTGGCCTGAGTCTTAGGCTTCCTTTATGGGTGCACTGCGACTGTGCTAGGTAAGGGATATAAGACAGATAAGGGACAGAATGAAATATGGGATAAAGAAATATGGGTGGTAAGGTTGTCTGGTAGGGAAAGATGAGACCCATAAGAGAAAGACACCTAATAATTTTTTACAGAGAGAAGGCTAGTAAATCAGTAGATTCTGTGGTATACATAGCCACTGAACCTCCTCATTTTTAGAATTTAGTCTCTAACTCTGTATATTTGCAAATGATTTCTATCTTTGGAGTTTCCATTGCTTTGTATACTTATTCACTTTAGCGTCAAATTATTGTGTGCAGAATTGATTGAAATATTTTTTGTATAATAATTTGTGGTCCAGTCTTGCAGTTTGTAGTTGTTAGTTTTGAAAGAGTAGTCTTGGATATAAACTGTTCATTTAATGGAATTCTAGTTATTTTTAAACCATTTCCATCTCCCCCTTGCATTCACATTTTTTATTTCCTCGCCCCTCCCTCCCATCAGAAAATAAGTGGAGAGGTTTCCCTCTGCAGTACAGGATAATAATTCTGGAAATCTGCTGGCTTAGGACATTTTCCTGCATCTTGGACAGGGACAGTAAGATGATGGTATTTATATCGTATTCCTGGAACAGATTAATGGAATTAAGGAAGTACGGGTTGGTTGAATGGTCTGTAAGGTGGATTGAAAGCTGGCTCAATATCTCATCGGGCTCAATGTCTAGTTGGCAGCCAGGATCAGGTGGAGTGAGTGCCCCAGGGGTTGGTTTGGGGCTGGTTTTATTCAGTATCTTCACTGACCTGGAAGATGGGATGGAGCGCATCCTCAGCAATTTTGTAGATGACACCAAGCTGTGGGGAGCAGAGGATACGCTGGAAGGTAGGGCTAAGATTCAGAGAAACCTCAACAAATTAGAGGACTGGACTAAAAGAAATCTCATGAGGTTCAACAAGGACAAGTGGACAGTCCTGTATTTAGAATGGAACAAGCCCATGCACCAGTACAGGCTGGGCACCGATTGGCTAAGCAGCAGCTCTGCAGAAAAGGACCTGGGGGTTACAATGGACAATGAGCTGAATATGAGCCAAGTGTGCTCTTGTGAAGAAGGCTAATGGCATACTGGACAGAATTAGTAGAAACGTTGCCAGCAGATCAAGGGAAGTGATCCTTCCACTGTTCGGCACTGGTGAGCCCACATCGAGTACTGTGTCCAGTTTCGGGGCAACAGAAATGGTGAGGGACCTGGGGCACTGAGGAAGGATTGAGGGAATTGGGTTTATTTAGTCTAGAGAAGAGAAGAATGCCCGGGGGGGGGGGGGGGGGG